GACTATTATCCTCATCTTTGTCGCCATATTTATTACAACGTTTCGACCGTTGTACGCTCCAGCCTTCTTCAAGGGGTTGGAATGTCGAACTGGACCCTTTATTTCGCTCACTGGGGTAGACTGTCAGTTATCAGTGATCTCCTGTTAATTTGCCTCTGAAAGTTCTCCACTGCCTTAACCGGGTATTGAACTCACACTCTTTGGGTCATGACACTGGATCTAACTAACGCTTTTGTCCACTGTGCCATGTGTCCACCCTTCAAATATATAAATCAAACACCGTCCTTGCATGAAATATTACTCTCATATATGGTCTGGTGTCCCGCTGTATATCTCAAGGTCCTTGACAAATTCCAGAGACGAATATGTAAGATGATAGGTCCTAATCTTGCATCTAGTCTACAATCGCTATCCCACAGACGTGCAGTGACCTCCCTCTGTCTCTTGAACAAATATTTTCTCAGCAACTGTTACGACAAGCTACTTTCGCTGGTTCCCAGACTGCATGAATTTAAGCGAGCTACTAGGCTGTCATCTCGGATCCCCCTATTCACTGTCAAAACGGTTAAATGTAACCGTCGCTTCTTCTCAAAAAGCTTCTTCTCCCACACTTCTTCCCGTTTCTGGAACTCCCTTCACCGATGACAATAATCTTCAAATATTCAAATGTAATGTCAATCGATATCTGACACCCTGAGCTAGTTTCTATATATATATATATATATATATATATATATATATATATATATATATATATATATATATATATAATATACGCATCAGGCGATAGTGAAGCATTGCAAAATGCCGATTTTGACACGTTTGCGATGGAATATCCTAAAATACATCATATATATATATATATATATATATATATATATATATATATATATATATATATATATATATATATATATATACGTGAACATTGAACTCAACACTCAGAGGCGACAGGCAGTTACTTGCGGCAGGCTGTGATGTGTGTGTGTGTGTGTGCGTGTGTGTGTTTGTGTGTTTTCACGCGCGCGTGTCGGAGTGAATGCTTTCGTCGAATTATAATCTTCTACAGGTACGAACAATATAGGATTGGACGATTTTGTTACCCTATGAACATGAATAGTTTTAAAAGTTGATGTCCCGTGCAGAGCCAGCAATACATCCCCCACGCCAAGAATAAAAAAGAAAGAATAAAGAAAAACTTAGTTAAGGGTGTGCCACGAATTTTACAAACGCATTCAATATATTCTTTATCTTATGGTCGTTACCAGTGAAAGATGTAGAGCTGCTTCAGCTATTCATGCCTTAGCCGGATGAAACCGGATCCGTGCCTCTTCCATGTGAACGGACACGGCAGTGAAAGAAAGAGATCGAGCCAAGTTTGAACTTCACTCGACAATTTCTCTCGCGACACATATACAACAGTTACGGTAGAAACTCGATAGCAACATGAAGTAGCGAGAACTATACCCGGGCATCAATATTCTCCATACAACTAACTTTCCTGTACCTCAATAACTGTAATCATATGTATGGTTCGTACACTTTTCTTTTCGGTACTTTCCCGTAGAGAAATAGATTCGTAGACTGGAATTTATTTTTTCTTATAAGATGTCAAAGGAACTTAAAGAGTAGAACAGTTACGAATTTTGAACATATTACTGCCATTTTCATGGTGCAAAATAATAATTGTAAGCTTTAATAATGCCACCATAGATAGATAGATAGATAGATAGATACGTTTAGACAGACAGACATATAGATAGATGAACACGTTTAGACAGACAGACAAACAAACAGGTAGATAGATAGATAGATAGATAGATAGATAGATAGATAGATAGATAGATATATAGATGAACACGTTTCGACAGACAGACAGACAGTAGATAGCTAGCTAAACACGTTTAGATAGATAGATATGGACAAACTGAGATAGATAGGTAGAGCTATAGATTGATATGAACAGATTGAGATAGATAATCATTAAATATTATAAAACTGATATATTCATATATTGATACATTATTATTCTTTTATTATACTAATATTTTATATACGAATAATGCTGAAAAATTTCCAGTTGAAAATTCGCGACAAAATTTAATGATTACTCCGATTTTGGCATATTTTTCTGGCAGATAATTTTTTTAGTAACCATATGGATATATGCTGTGATGATGATACTTGAGGTCGAGGTGGCGACTATTGTATGTATGCATGTATAGATATATGGATGAATAGATGCGTGGTTGAGTGGTTAGAACGATGGCATTCTGACCATGAGTCCCGTGTTCGAATCCCACCAGTTTCCTGATGTTATTCTGAATCGCGGTCAGTCCCAGCAAAAACTGAAATTGGGTCGACGGAATTGTAGCACGAAGCAACAAGTGATCGGGGCCGAGGTCTTGGCCTTGTTCACATTGTTGATCACGCTAGATTACACACTCTTTACCAGAAGCTGTAACTAAGGTCTGCTCAGCATAGTTGCAGTAGAAACTACAAATTGAGCTAACACCAAATGTGCCTGAGCGAGCTTCTGCAATAGGGATTGACTAGCCACCATATTAGACGGGTATCCTTCACAAATACGAGTGGTCCGCTATTTATGTATGTTCGTATGTATGTATGTATATATCTCTCTATCTCTGAACACACACACACACACACACACACATATATATATATATATATTAAGAATTTTTTATGTTTATACATTCTTTTTATAGATACAAATATTTAAGTAAATGCTCTGTTTATAATGAACAGTATTAAACAACATTTAACAGCCGGAATGTCGGGGAAATTTTCATATTCGTCCTCCGACAGGAATCGAACATGTATCCTATACGGAACCGTCATTTAGCCCGACGGGCCTTAACCGATTCGGTCACAGAGCAGGATTCGGTTAGTAATGTCGATTTTACTGTCTTTGAATTACAATCTTCCATGATTCTCTCACGTACATTTATATCTGCTCATGGTGTATCCAAGTGTAAGCAAATGACGTCATACATTATGAAACGGACAAGAATCATTTTTTTGACATATATATATATATATATATATATATATATATATATATATATATATGTTGGAATGCTGGAAGAAAATCGATAAAAGATTTATTAAATCTTCATGGTCGACATTTTCAGCGAAACCTATATATATATATATATATATATATATATATATATATATATATATATATGTGTGTGTGTGTGTGTGTGTGTGTTTGTATCTGTGTATTTGTATATGTGTGCTTCTGTCTGTATGTGTGCTTTGTTGAAAATGATCAACCATGAAGATTTAATTAATGCTTTATTGAGGGTTTTTTTTCTCACCATTCTATCATTTTTTTTTTCTTTTTTGAGGGTTAGAGAATATAAAATTGCCTAAAGTTATTGTTCCAAGTGCTTTCGGCCAGCTCTATAGCCATTATGAAGGATATTGATAATGCCTAAAGAACTAGCCGAAAGATCTCGGAAAAATAATTACTTTCGGCAATTTTTATAATCTTTAACCCTTAAAAACTGTTATAATACTGGAATATTCCAATAAAAGATTAATGAAATCTTCCTTGCCGGCCATTTTCAATGAAACATGGCTGAAACAAAGTTGTTATATATATATATATATATATATATATATATATATATATATATATATATATATATTGAAGAATAAAAATATTAAAAATTAAAATCTTCAGACTCACTGTGTTGTATATCAATATTAATTCGTTTTTATTATTATTTAATTTAGATACCTCGACTAGTTTCGGCCAGCATGCCCATCATCAGGAGAAAAACATTTCTACATACTGGTAGCAGTGAACTACAGAAATGAATGTCTTGATGGAGAAAATGAACTTTTGTCAGTAGTTTTCTTTTTTTTTATCAACTTTTTTATTTTTTAACATGAATTTTGGTCAGTCTTTGTGTTGGTCAAACAGTCTCTGGATCCTGATGCTATGAATTCACACATAGAAACAAAAATGGAAAAGATGTGTGTGATAATTTCATTGAGTACTTGCAAATGAGGATAAAACTCATCATTAACTCAGGTTCGATTTTCCACTCAGAATGATTTTGGAGAAGCAATGAAAATTGGGCGAGACACGGGAAAGACGAGATAATACGACAACTAAAGAGAAAGTTAATTTTTTTCGCGTGATGCCGACCCTTACATCTTCAAAAACAAAGCCCTACGGGCACAAAAAGAAAGTTATTAATCAAAAGCCGTATAAGTTTACAAATAGCATACCTACAAATACGAATTTTGTTCATATTTCGAACGAGATCTTCATTCTAAACAACTTCTGAATATCGAACACATGACACTAACGAGCAAGCCTGAGAATTGACCGCACACACAAACGCCCTCACACACTTACGTACACATGATCACATTGAAAACAGGGACACACATATATATGAATTTAAGCTTTCGTGGTCGGTCTTGGTGTTCACATACACACGGACAAATATATATATATATATATATATATATATATATATATATATATATATATATAAAGTGTGTACGCGTGTGTGTGTGACTGTGTGAACACATGTATAAATGTTTGTAGGTGTGTGCATAGATAACTACACTTATTCATAAAGACAGACATAGAAATGAAACTGAAGCATACACATAAAGACTCACACCCACTATTACATGTAAACTATAATGTACAAATGTTTATACCCGTCCTGAAACGATTTTACAAGCGTTCCAAAATGTAAACAGTCGGTCCTGAAATGTCTTTTTTATTAAAAACAAGAACATTATTAATGTCGAAGAAATTTAAGAGAAAACAGTGAACACAAATTTTACTCCAGTTTAAGAAATGAAACTATCACCTCAAGATTAAGGAAATCGTTATAATGATGCAGACATACCTCTGCAGACGACAGAAAAAAAAGTGCATTCGCATAGAATAAGATAATGCATTTAAATATAAATATAATAAGTATTATTCACTACAACATTTACACAAA